GGCTCAGCGGGTGCAGGGATGGTCCCGGTGGTCCCGGCCCCCGGGGTGGGGCTCAGCGGGGGCGGCGTCGGCGGCGTCGGGGGCGAAGAGCTCTCGGTAGAGGGGGGGGAAGGCGGCCGAGACCCCCCCGGGGTGGAGGCGGCGAAAGGCCTGGAGCTGCTCCAGGTGCTGCGAGCACAGAGCCCGCAACCGGCCCGGGGGGGGCAGCTGGAGGGGCACGGCCGTCACACGCCTGGCACATGCCTGGCACACGCCTGGCACATGCCTGGCATGCAGGTGACACGCCTGGCACACACCTCCAAGTCCCCCCTACACCCTCCTCTGCCCCCCCAGCGCCATTCTGGCCCCCCCGTGCCCCTCCCTGACCCCCTCCACCCCCCGCAGCAGCCCCCCGACTCCTTCCGTGACCCCCCTACTCTCGCCCCCCCCCATCCCTGGTCTCCCCGTGCCCCTTCGTGCCCCGTGGACCCCCTACACACCCCCGGCTCCCTCTGTGCCCCCCCAGGCTCCCCTCGTGCCCCCCTCGACTTCCCTCCGCCCCCCCGTGCCCCCTGTGCCCCCTTTTGCCCCCCCGTGCCCCCTGTGCCCCCCTGTGCCCCCACCCTGTCCAGGAGCCCCTCGCGGCGGGTCCGGCGCAGCAGGAGCCGAAAGGCCACGTCCAAGTGTCGCTGGAGTCGGGCCACCCGCGGGCGGTCCTGCAGCCACGGCCGGCCTGGGGACACGCACGGGGACAGTGGGGATGGGGCAGGGTGAGGGGACAGCCACAGGGACAGTGGGGACAGTGACAGAGGCAGTGGGGACGGGGCAGGGCAGGGGACAGCGACAGGGACAGTGGGGACAGCGGGGACAGCGACAGGGACAGTGGGGACGGGACAGGGGCGAGGGGACACGGGGAGAGGACACAGGAGGGGACACAGGAGGGGACGCGGGGAGGGGACACAGGGGGGGACGCGGGGAGGGGACATGGAGAGGGGACACGGGGAGGGGATATATGGGATGGGAATATGGGGTGGGGACACGGGAGGGACACGGGGGGGGACGCGGGGAGGGGACACGGGGAGGGGACACGGGGAGGGGATATATGGGGTGGGGACACGGGAGGGGACACGGGAGGAGACGCAGGGAGGGGATACAGGGAGGGGACACGGGGTGGGAACATGGGGTGGGGACACGGCGTGGTAATATGGGGTGGAAACACGGGAGGGGACACGGGGGGAGATGCAGGAAGGCGACACGGGAGGGGACACGGAGAGGGGACGCGGAGTGGGAATATGGGGCGGGAATATGGGATGGGGACACGGGAAGGGACACGGGAGGAGACGCAGGGGGGGGACACGGGGGGGGGACACGGGGGGGACACTGAGGCAGGGAGTGGGAACATTGGGAGGCGACACGGGAGGCGACACGGGGAAGGGACGCGGGGTGGGGACAGGGGAGGGACACTGAGGCAGGGCGTGGGAACATGGGGAGGCGACACGGGAGGCGACACGGGGAGGGACACGGGGAGGGAACACGGGGAGGGGACACGGGAGGGGACCCGGGGAGGGGACCCGTTTGGCCCCTCACTGGCGTTGACGAGCACGAGTGCGCTGAACAGGGCCACCTCGCTCTCCGAGAAGCGCAGCGCGCACAGGCTCTGGGCGAAGTCGAAGATGGACCCGACGAGCTCGTGGCACCCTGGGGACGGCCCTTTGTCACCCGCTGTCCCCGGGGCGTCCCTCCCCGCGTCCCCTCCCTCCCCGCGGGCCCCGGGCCCTACCCAGGGAGTGGAACAGCTCCGCGCCGGCGAACTTGCCCTCGAAGAGCACGGTGCGG